ATGAAGCCTACTATGAAGCCTACTATGAAGCCTCATGATAGACTGCTGGGGACTCTCGCATGGTCGGTCTCCGACAAGCGTGGTCAAATGATAGAAGTCCACCTGCGCTATACATCGCTACATATTCTCTCATCATAAAATCAAAAAAAACAATATAAAGACATATAAAGACCTGAATGCGGCACACTCTACAAATCACCACAATGCCGTATCATGGATTCCTGCTGCCAAGTGTTGATTGACCAGGCCCAATGTCCTGAAAGGAGTAGCACCACCGTTGGGAGCCTTTGCCCTTGTGGAGATACGCGCGAGGGACCCAGTTCACCTTCACACCCTCGAAGTTCATCTGCGGCAGTTGGCGTTTCTGAAAATTCAGCCAGGAAGACAGTTCTGCCAACCACACACTGAACATGTTGAAAGCAGGCATGTATCAAATATGAAACGCGCATGGGTGATATATACATATCGATATGACTTTCATAAATTGGCCCAGCTTTGCAACCCAACAGCGAAAGGTCCCAGCAAGGTTCCAGGACTGTTCCGGTTTTGCAGGGCGCGCATTAGTCCCCGGCCCTGGAGATTGAAACCCAACAGATTTGCTGTTGGAAAAAAAATGTATATATATATATATGTGTGTGTGTGTGTGTGTGGGCAGGTAGGTGTGCATAATGTTTATATATATATAAATATATATATACCTAATATTATTATATTATAAATACACACACTATATATAAGGGCATTTCGTTGTATTCAGGTCTCATTGCTTCGGTTTCAGGGGTCAGGGTTAGTGATTCTTCGCCGGCCGCTCATCAATGATCATTGTTTGATCAAGCCTGTGACCATATCCAATCCGGGAGCGAATGAGGCAGGGATCTGTATGTTGAAGCTTAGATATGGTCACAAGCTTGATCAAAAGATGTGGAGAGGTTGGCGATGGCTTGGCTTTGGACATCGTGTTGAGAGGTGCCTCCTACCTGTTTGAGGGTCATTTCGACTTGGCTTCAGCTGAATCTTGTTTTGAGGATGTTTCTGAATATTCTGAATTTGGCAGAGGTTGATGATTGATGCACTGAAGTTTGGGATCAAGGGCCATCGTAGGGGCGATCGTCGCCATGAAGCGGCCAGCCAGTGCTTTGGAAGCTGCTGAGCGGCCAGCCGGTGCTTTGGAAGCTGCTGAGCGGCCAGCCAGTTCGTCGGGAGCGGGGCGGCCGCGGAGAACCCCTCGTGAGAAGGCAAAAGCGAATCTTGGGCTGGGCTTCATTCAATGTTTTTATATTATGTTTTTGGGCTATCCATTGATTTTGATTTCCAATTTGAAAGGACAAGATGTCTTGTTCCAAGCCTTGTGCCGAATTGTTTTTGGGTTTTTCACTTGCTTCCATCTTGTCGGCCACAAGGAGATGCTTCACAGAGAAGACCCCGAGGGAGTTCCTGAGCAAGCGCAGGCTCAAGGAGTGGGGTCAGCAGCTGGAACGAGAGCGAGTGCAGTTCTTCTATGCGCGTCGCTTGGCATTGTGACATTGCTGATTTTATTTTGTTTCTTTCCCACAAGGTTGTGATATGTTCCGTGTTTGTTCTGCCCATGATTCAATGCATTTGACTGAGTTATCACTACAACCGATGATCCTGGTGGCGACCCTCCTTCTGACTTGTCGGCGCAGCAGTTGGAATCAGTGAGTCTTGACTTAGCATTTGGTTTGTAATCAATCGTTTGGAGTTTAAACCCACCAAAGGCATAGATATGGGTTCCTACTTGTGCTTTTTCGTGATTCACAATGGTCCCTAGTTCATCCTGTTCCATCCCAGGGTCAACGACATGGTGCGCCGCGTGGCAGCCCGTCTCAAGGCAGACCATGGGGAAGTCAAGAAACTTGGGTTCAATTAGCCGATTGTTTTGATTTCCCCGGAATCGCATAGCCAATGTTTAATCTTGGGCTAGCCCTTTTTGGATTTCAGCTGTCAGTTTCCATACCAAGGCGTTGCCTCCACATGTGCTTTGGATGATTGGGCACACAGTTTTTCATTTTTTAACTTGAGCCTGATGCTTCCCACTGAACCTTCCCATCCTCTTGTGATTGAATGTGTCATGCCCTGTTGAGGTATTGCCAAGCTTTCGATGATGACGTGGACGAGCACTCGCTGCACCGGCTGAGGGAGATGGTCTCAGCGATCTTGCAGTTGGAGGCTGGCTTTTTGGATTGGCATCTGGGTCAGGATTAGTTTGTTTTTTGTGAAGTTTTGCTTTTAGTTTTTAAATGTTGCCAGTTGCCATCTTGAAGTTTTGGGATTCCTTAGATGCTGCTTCCCTGGCTGCCCGCTCCTTGAACTGACTAGGTACAACGTTTGAGCTCTGCTGCAGTTCTGGCATGCCGTGGCTAGCAGTGCCTTTGTGTGCAGTTGCTTGGGCAATCTTTTCTTGTGGGATCTTTGTTGGAGGGTGGTTTCAAATGTTCTTTTTTCGTTTTGGTTTCAATTGAGGGTTCTGACCCCTACTGACCCCTTTACGGTATCTGAGGTATCAACGATGGCTATGAGAAGCTCATGGGTCCACTATGGTCCACGGATGGATGGAAAACATATCCAAACCGCGATGGAGAAAAAAAGTGCTGGATCAAACTGCCATGGCATCTCTGCTTCAGCAGCCTTCGGTCAGATTTTTTTCGGGTTCTTTCTGCATCTTTCTTCGTTGACCGTTGCCAGGTGCTGTGATCACCGCCTGTACTCCGAGCCTGGCACCTCAAGACTTGTGGCTCTGGGTCTGTTATTGATCTAGCTGACCCAATTCAAAAAACAAAGCATTACGATAAAATGGTGCAAGCTGAATCATTTCAGTTTCAGGTCCCAGATTCTTTGGTGAGGATATGCTCAGATTTACTAACATCTAAAAACCACAACACGCTTTGAGAAGTGTATCATCTTTTGCTTGGGCGTTGTAAGCGTAAGCATCCAAAATGCCCAAACTGTGAGGAACATATGGTCTTTTGATGTCTTTTGCTTGGACTTGGTCTAGGTCAGAAACATCTGACACCCATCCTCAGGTTTTCGAAGTTTGCATGAGAGCTGACTTCATCGGTTTCGGCCTATATCTCAGATCTGAAAGCAGCCTGGTTGTCTCATCGGTAATTTCTTTTGGGGAAACAATGAATTAACTAATCATTGGGCAATTTCAGACGTGGAATTTTGGCCGAAATAAAGCAGCATTCCCATGTAATACATCACATATCCATCCCAACCAGAACACAATCTCAAATCCAAGAGTTTTGATGCCAAGAAGTTAGACAGTCTGTAACGGAAACGTTGGGAACACATCTGCTCTCTCTTGTGTGGGTGTTTGCTTGCTTTGTGTTTCAAGTGATGGAACCTCATTTCCAAATTCTTGTGACTCCCAGGCTTGCTTTCAGATTCATCGGAATCTGTCGGTTTCCCAGAGTGATCTCAAGATGTGACTTTCTCACTCAGTGGTCTGATTGATTCTACCTCCTCAGCATGTGATTTCATATCGGCAGGACAAATTTGGTTCAACAAGCATGTGGTTTCAAGAAGGCACCCTTAATTATGAACAATCAAAACTGTGAAAATGGAACGAAAAAATACTTTCCTATTCAAAATATGAGGATCATTTTGGACATGAAAGCGGACCAAATCTGCCAGAGGATATCCAACAGACCCTCAACAAACATGCAGTGTCAGTGGTTGATTTCGCGATACCATGCGATACCGCACGCTGGCTTTGGAGCTACGTCGCGAGCTGAACAGGCACTGCACATGGCATGTGCATCATGCTGTCAACATGATTTCAATTTGTGGAAGCTGGGTGTGTTTTGTCATAGATTTGTCACCATGAACTTTATCATTCATTCGCTGCTTCACTCATCGTCAGGCTTTCCATTCCTGTCAAGATGGTCGACAAAGTGGTTGGATGAACAGGCCGAAAAAACAGTGATACAACAAGTTGCTCAGCTGTCTCGCATTTGTGCTCGATAGTGAAAAGGATGGAACAGGTGCCCTTGCAAAATCATTTTCAACAGCGTTCTTTCCTCAAAATCATGAGTCATAAGGGTCCAACAAGTTGCAATATCAAGGTTTCAAGTCAAAACATTTCTAAATCTTTGATCAAGATTCTGTGTGTTGCAGTCTCCCCCTGGTTGCCTGGCCTTGCAGGCGATTCACGGCGAGCTTCCCCAGACCTGACCTTCAGCAGGTGCACATCATAATGTATCATCCCTTAATGATTTCATCTTGATTTGTCTTCACACCAGCAACGTGCATCATGAGGCTGACAGAATGTTTTGCAACCCAGGGGTTCCAACAGAAATCTTGTTGTGCAGGCGGCTGGACTTTTTTCACATCTGGAGCCAGGGCCTTCAATACTTCTGGAATGACGCTTTGTCATGGTCGCGCTTTGATTCCATCTAATTTCCAAACGGATATGATTCAGATTGATCCAGCCTTCCTCCCTACTAGTGTTGCTAGTGTGTGCAAAGTCTTGGGTGCCAAGGCTTCACTTGCCATAGGCCTGGCTAGATCTATATCTTGAGGCGGGACCTGGTGAGCCGCCTGAAAAATTGGTTATATTCTTTTTTCTTCGTGTGTATATGTCACGTGCCTTGTTCCATATGATTGTGTTTGAGCCGCCAGCCTGCTGAGGGGCATGTCTGCTCAACGGAGAAAGACTCTTGGCATTTGTCAGGGCCAAGATTCATGTGCTTGCCAAACCCTGTCAACGCAAAGAATATCAAAGAATTCTGTGCTTCACGTTTCTTGTTGCTCTTTGGCTTTCTGTCGTGCCACTATGTGCCACTGATATACTTTCGGTCTTGCCAAGGTTTTTGGCCAGTTTGACGGCCGCGCCGTCACCCAGCAATCAGGCATCTCCAGCTAGGGATTGCTGTAGGGAACTTGCTGTGCCAGGACAAGACAGTTGTCACAACAGAGAGCCACCTTCTCGGCATTATCACGTAAGATTCAATTTGGAAGGCTTGCTGGACTTTCAGGGCATGCACAGTGCTGCTACTCAGGGTGAGGATGGTCACGGCCTTCCAAGTGTGAACTTCAGGAAACGACCGAACTATGACAACACCAAGCGGTCTCTGATGAAGATCCAGCGAGGACGCCAGCAGTGCCCAACTTAGCCCTTCGTCAATCATGTTGGTTGCTGGAGTTGCTGGACCAGTGGCGTGATATTTGCTGTTATTTGCTTAAATTCAATGACTGTGCCACATTGAAACTCAAAACCATGGAGTTGCTAGTTAGTTCTGAGGCATTCTTCCAACGGACCTTGTCACCATCGCTTGGATCGATTGCTCGCACTTTCCCAGTGCCGATGTCCTCGGCGAGTTTGCTTCCAGAAGTTCAAGGATGCTGATGCACGAGAGAAGCTGCATAGATTCCTTTCTGTTTTCTGGGCAATGAAGCGGGGATCGCAAGACTCATATGTGCTGGGCTGAGAGAACTATCTGTGATCCAATGTTGTTCATCCATGAATCATTCCTCTGGATCAATGTGCGTATCAATGTTTCTGCCACCCTGTTTTTGGAAATATTCGAGGTCAAACAGACCATTGGTCCGCGTTCAAACTCAAGAAGACAATGGTTCTTCTTGGACAAGCTTGTGAATTCCAAGTGTCTAGTTGGCTTACTTGGGATGGGCCAGGACAGGCTCCAGCGAATTATGGAAGGAAGGTGGGACAAAAGGAGATCCTGGGGCTTTGCAGCTCAGAAAATGTGTGATGATTTTTTCCAACTTTTCAATTTTTTGTGAAGAAGAAGAAGAGCCCAACAGCTAACCGAAAATCACAGCTCAGAGTTGCCAGCACTACTAGCTCAGGCAGTGCAGCGAACAGCTCGGAAGCGGCGTGAGGTAAACCTCTACTTGCTAAAGCTGTACATGGATGCTGCTGGCATGCTCCCACAGAAGAAGCTTGGCTTCAGCAGGGATTGAGTTAGCAATGTGCAAGATGGTTTCATCATGTTTCACCGAGTATCATCAACATTGGCTGGATCGACAAAGGCTGATTGTTTCATGGAGTATCGACATTGACATTCGCCTGATAGCAGCCCTCTCAAGGTTCCAACGAGGCGGCCGGTCACGCGGCAACAAGGGCACCCCCAAAGAGAAGTTGTCCGTAGTCATGGAGGAGGATGCTACGAGTGTTTGCGACTATGATGATGCTGCTTCATCGAGTTCCAGTGACCTGGACCCTGCCAATGATTTTGATGATGTTCAACCTGAAGAGATGGAGGTTGACGAAGAGATCCAGCTTCATATCATGGGGCTGACTGGGTATTTCACCTCGGTGGTGGAAACAAATTTCGCTTCGAAGATCAAGTGTTTGCCGACCAGGTATTTACTAACTGGAAACATCAAGATGCTTTGGCACCAATTTTGCGTCACTCATTCAGTGAGTTACCTGCACTTTTGGCGCACCTTCAGAGAAATTTGGCAGAACACCTTGCGATTCACATCACCAAGTCAACATGGCCAGTGCGACTGCTGCGCCAGCTTCAAAGAGTCTTTCCGGCATGCCTCTGACAACCAGACGAAATTCGAGACGGCCAAAGCCTACAAACAGCACATCACTGATGTTGGCCGAGACAGAGATTTAGAATCTTTCTTGCAAGGACAGCGACCTTTAGAGCGGCCAGGGAATACACTTGCTATCCACTGGGAGCCTTGGGCCGTGCATAGATATTCCATGTATTTCCGTGTGATGTTTTTCAACAGGCTAGCAGTTTTGAGTTTTCAATCTTGAGTTGCTTCTTTTTACAGCTAGCCAAGGATGGAATGGATCAGAGCAAATGGAGGATACCCAGATATGCTGGGCAGCGACCTTTGAAATCAACATCCATGCTGCAGCGCCCACAACTGAAGGTTCAAGGTTGCTGGGTTCACGGTGTCGTTTTGGATCTCTGGGTGCCTTGTTGGCACAATTTCTTTGTGCATTCCAAAATCCCAAATCTATGCGTTTTTCAGCAATTGCAAGATGGATTGCAATTATTTTTCAACGTACTCAGTTCCACGGGCTTTTGAGATTCATCCCCACATCAGACAGGGAAACTCCAATACAATGTCAGACATGAGCTGTGCACCACAACGCCATGCTGTAAGGTATTGGACCCAAGGGTCCCAGCAGACTCCACCATGGTGATCGAGACAGGATCCAGATCCATTGAGTTTGCCAAGCAATGCTGTCAAGAGCGGCAAGTTCCATTTCCAGATCAGATCTTGATCTCTGTATCTTGGCATTATTTTGCTTATTGTGTGCCGGTCTTTCAATGCTTGAGCCCTAGGACAACCTTACTTTGAATTAATTTATAGATTTTAACTTATCGGTTTGTGCATGACGGCCAAAAAATATTGCCAGAAAAAATGCTTAAAAACATCTTTGCCAGTGAAACTCTGGCTGACAGGCTGACAATTGTGTGAGGGAGACGAAGAACGGGAACCTCATCCGGTTTCTCTCATGGCTATGCAGCACGCACTGTATCAGGCTTGGTGCAATCCTTTTTGGCCGAGTAGGCCATACACATGGTTGTTTGGGTTTCTTGGCACAATAAGGCGGGTGCCCCAACAAGGAAAGACAGCCCATGGAAGTTGTGCATGATTCAAGTCAAAAAAACAAATTAAATATAATCCTGATTCATGAAATTGAAACAGCTGAGATCAAATCTATGGTTTGATCAGTGTTGCAATGCGACACATCGATGTGCTGGCGGATCCTGTTGATGTTGCACAGCCACGAGCTTAACAACTCACCGTTCCAAACAGTTCGGAAATATCAATATCACAGTTTGGCTTCTTGAGGCTTCCAGATGATCAATTGTACCAAGAATCTGACAATTCAACCATTTTGTCACCGAGACTTTTCTCAGGAAAATACAAATCATCCTGGAGAGGATTGGCATTCGACAATTCGTTGGTGCAGCGAAAATCCGTGTGCAGTACTTGTCTGCAGTTCGAAACTGGAAATCTTGGTTCCTTACTTTAAATAATAACAAACCAAAGTGAGAGAAAACCTTGTTGTTCATTTGAATTTTGTTGCAGAACCTTTGCATCGTCGGAACCTCAAGCAAGTCCAGGCTCCTGTGACTTCCACTCAGTCAGGTTGTCGCGGGCACCTGTGACATATGCCGGTGGCTTGCGAGATGACGAAAGTGGTCACCACTGCTTTGTGCTGATGCGTCGGTCAGGCCAGGTATTTACTAAATAATATGCAAATCAGCCCAATTTGATGTTTACTTGGCAACTGCATGGTGGTAGCATATTTCACCAAACCAGAAGTGAGCGATACTCATGCAGTTCTTGTTATCACTGACTTTTGCTTGGTTGTGAGTATTCGTGAATGCTTTCCCCTGCGAGACATCCCAGAAAACGTGACCATCGAAGCCCATGGAAGAGGGGCCCGCATGCCCATGCATCCTTCTGATGCAATTTTGCTGCTGAAGCGCTATGCTAGTGATGATCTCCTTTCCCAGGACTCACAAACATTCAACATGGATCAACATAGATTTTGCCTAAAAGTCTTAGCATGGTCTCAACTAAGTGATGTCCGAAAGGTTTGATTTGAACTGATCTACAGATTGTCTGTGCATGCTGTGGCCTGAATCAGAACCCTGTGCTGGCCTTTCCTCATCGCTATGTTGATCGCATTGGACGTCCTCCTGGGGAAGGCCAAGTGAGAGTGTTGCGGGCAGTGAAGCCCAGCAAGCAAAAGGATTACATAGCCCTTGCAAAGTTGCTGTTGGAGAAATACCCGCATGAAGCCACACGTCGTGCTGTAGAGTTTTTACTTAGCATTTGCCGTACTGAAAGGCCTCAAGGTCTTCCGGCGTTGGGTTGGATTGAGAACCCTGCCCCAGGGCAGGTGATCCAAATGGGGCTTCCGTCTGCACTTGGCAGAGTGATCCCAACAATGAAATTTCGTGTCACAGTGCAGCCTTGAGTCCTGAAACAAGTCACAATCAACGAATAGGTTCAACTGCCGTTGAAGTATCAAGATTTCTTGATGACTCACACTGAAAACATTTGTGGCTTCCTTTTATTTCAGGACTTGGCTCCTACTTTGAGGGGTCAAGCATGCAGGGGTTGGCAAGCATTTTCAAAAGGGGTGTCGCACTGATTGGAAACCATGGGAACTTCTTTTGCCCAGTGCCGTGGCTCTCGGCACCATGTCAACTACATGTCTTTGTGAACTGCTGCTTGCATTAGTTCCAAAGCTGTTTCCAGGTGTAGCTGCCAGCATTGCTAGGTTAGTGCGGTTGCCAGGGTTCAACTTGCCTTCCCTTGCTTAGGCCTGATTGATCAACGCGCTTACACTTTGAACAATAAACTTTGATTGTCTTGGATTGGATGCATGAAATTTATGTTTGCCACTCCAAAGTGTTAGACTGCCATGATTGAAAACACTTGGAGGTATGCCGGTCAATCCAGCAGCTCGTGAATCCCAGCCCATCGTCCTCGTGGAGAATGCTTCTTCCTCAGCGAGACCTTCCATTGAACGCCTGTCAATCAACCCATTGAACCAAGGGGTGGTAAACAATTTGTTCTCTTGGGTCAGGAAGATGGAAAAGTTGATGAGAGTGAAGCTGCTCCACCAAAGCGGGAGCTCACCTCTGATGATGAGGTGTGGGGGTAATTGCACTTGCCTAACCAATACTACTTTCTCTGCTTTATATTCTCTTCTCAGGACTACTGGCCCCAGGACGACCCCAACCACTGGACGTACTATGAGGATTCACAGGCCAGTCAGTTTAAGATCTGTCTGCATCACAGAATGATTGATCCCAATTTGCTACTTTGACCAGTTGACGATGGAACGCTACCAGACCCTCCCAGAGGCTGGGGTGGAATGCTTCAAGTTTTTTAATCAGGGCTGATCCTTTTGCCAGTTGCATCAGCCAAACAACATTCAATTTTGAAGACTGTGGCAAGGTTTACCCAAAGTCCAAGCGCAAAGCCCAGGAATCCAACACTGAGGCGACCGGGTCCATTTATTTCAGCAAGGCTTCAGTCAGCGAAAAAGTTTAGATGCTTCCATACATACCTGACATACCTGGAACAGGCCTCGAAGAAGCAGTGCCGCCATCCTGATGATTCCGAGCTGCAGTGAACACTTGGCATTGGAAGCTGTAGAAAAAGGAAGCCCTGCTGCAAGCAAATTATTTCAGCAGCTGGATGGGCATGAGTCTTGCAAGATTCCACATTCAAATGATTTCCGAATCAAATCATGCTGGCACACATGCTTTGAATCACAAGATGCCGCAGTGCATTTTGCATTTGCAAGCCTCTGTCCTTGGAAGAGATTTACGGGAGCAATGGGCCCTAGATATTCAGTGAAAGAAGGTTTGCAAATCCTCACTGGGTCCCGTTGCATGACTCCCAGGCAGGGTATCTTGGGACAATGTAAATCTTCACCAGCCTCCAAGAAAACAACTTTCCTGATCTTTCCTGTGTTCCTGGGAATTTTGCAATGGGTTCTGGTCTGGTGCAGGAAAAAAGGAGCAAAGACGCCATCAAGTGTGAAAGACCAATTGCTTGTTCCTCAGTCTGACTTGGAATGCTTCACAAAGTTTCATTTCTTTTCCGTCAGAGTTGGAATGAGCATCCCAAATTGTCCAGCTATTTGTCTTGCACCGGGCCGAGGCCCAGCACAGTCAAAAGGTGCAATCCCAAGACTTGACAGCAACAAGAACAATTTTGCGATTGACTGATATTGACTGGTAACATCTGGTAACCCACTGGTTTGTTTACCGCATAGTTGCAAGACTTATGAACAGGTCCAACGTCAAGAAGACCATCTCAAAGGTGTTGGGGGCTTACCATTGATACAATCTCATGAAAGCCTGCCAAATAAACCCTGAAATCTTAGTTTGTGCAGTGGGGGTGCCAAAATCTTAGGAAGAAATTCCCGAAGACGAACGTGCCCCGACCAGCACCTGACTCACCATGCCACTTCAAGAGCGTTTTCTCCACTTTTTCCTGGGCCGACGTGTGGATCCAATGTGCTAGTCAGTGCTTTGGGCGATCGTGGCTCATGTCCCGACTGAAGAAATGGAGGTGGAATATGACCACTGCATTTTCCGGATGTGGGGCTGTTGAAAGCGCATCTTCCATGCAATTTCATCAAATTTCAGAATGTAAATTTCAATCCCCCTTACCATTTCCACTACTAAATGGGTGAGCACGTGCTGGATACCATCCCCTGTTGCGGAGAGAATTCATGTAAAAAAATGACGTCGTGCCCAGGATTTTGTAGTCAGAGAGTATGTGCTGCATCTTGTAGCGGCTTTTCATTTTTGGAACTTGAAAATCAGTGAAATCAAAGGTTGCGAATAAGGCTGCTTATTCGCGCCCTTGACAGGCTTCATTATCTGCGTTCATTTCGTGAAGTCTTCAATCGCTAAGTTTTCATTTTTCGAACTTAGCACTTGAAAATCGGAAATGCATTTTGTAGTGATTTATGTTGGGATGCTTTGGGTCATACAGGAAGCCCTATAGCCATCTTTTGCCAGTCATGCTGGGTCACATTAACATATGGCTTGGACCCTCAGACCGTTTTTGGCTCTTGACTCACGATCATTTCGTGGTAAGATGGCCTCCCCCACAAAAAAAAAACAATTTAGAGACTTTAAGAAGGAAAAGTGGTACAGATTTGGTTCAAAACCAATCAATTGAATTTGAAGTTGTGCGCTTAGATCGTTTTTGTTGCTCCATAGCTCTGACGATTGCAGTTCAAAATCTCTGCGCCGTGCTTTTGTCACACCAAATTATAATCTAATAAATGTATCCCTTTCTACTAGGGTCCTGCTCTTTTTGTCCAATAGTCAAGTTTCACCCAAGTTCAAAGAATCTACGCTTCGATGCGTGATGTCCTAGTTTCTGGATGGCTTTTGTCATGCACTGCATTTTGTAGTGACACATGCGTGCATAACCTTTTGTAGAACCTACTGCGTCTCCCCCCAAATAAGCCCCAAGAAGTTCGAAAAACATGCTTTTTGTAGAGTGGTTAAGAATGAAAAATGGGACAGATTTGCTTCAAAGCCAATCAATTGAATTTGAAGTTTTGCGCTTAGATCGTTTTTGTTGCGCCATAGCTCTGAGCATCGTAGTAGAAAACCTCTTGACAGGTCAATTCTTGGAATCCGATGGAATCCCAAGATTGTATTTATTTGTGCTCGGCAAATGCTATGACCTGGCCCTGGAAAGTGAACCAAAGACTTAGAGTGAAATTACCAGATTTACCGGTAGGTTTATTGTAGCACCATACTTTAGTAGAGAATCATGATTTTTCACTGCAACCCGTTTTTCACTACAAAATGGCTACGCAAGTGCATTTTGAGAGTGACCCACATTGGCTTTTGATCCACCATCAAAACCACCAAAGCATTTTGTAGCAACGGGGTCGATCCAGATAAAGGCAGCATTTTGCAGTATAAGGCTGTGTTTGTAAACAGTTTAGTTGGCACAGCTACCTTGCAGAATGCACACCAGGATAGAATTCAAAGCTAAAATGTCTTGCAAACCCGTATTGAGATTTCTATCAGCCTTTCAGTCTCGCTATCCAGCTGACAGCATGAGGCATGCTTGAGTCTTCAGGCAGCTGCCCAAAAGTTTGTCGCAGAAGATGCCAATGGGAAGCACCTCCGTCAGTGCCAGCACGTGATTTTGCGTGCCAGCTGTGAGATTTCTCCAGATTGTCAGTCAGTGCTCGAAAAGACGTACGGGACTTGCAACTTTCCCAATATCCTTGATGTCAACTTTCGTTCTGGTCGTGGAAATTGGTGCACCACCCATCAGAGATACTGCAAGTTGAAAAGAAGTTCTGACCCCAAACGAAGCTCGATCAAATTAACCAATTTTCCCTGGATTTTTAGGTAGTGAAACATGTAAAAACTTTCTGCGTCTTGATTTACTTGTGCCTGCTCTGTTTGCTGCACAAGGAATGGATGTGGCCCACGGCAGCAAAAGCCTCAGAAGTCTGTTGGCATGTAATGTATAAAAAGTAATGTGATGTCCACACAAGGGTACTGGAGAGTCCAAATGAAGTGAATTATTATCATTTTCCGACCAAGTGTGTGATTTTACCTGACTAGGCCCGGTTTGCATCATGTACAGCCGGATGGGGAAGGGGCTTCATGAGAAAGATGTGGAGTTCAACACCCACGAATCCTTCTATGAGCAGTATCCTGTGATTGCAGACGTGCTCTTCATAGAGAATGTCACGGAGTACCCTCGCAGTGTGGTGGAGTCCCACCTAGGCCCTGGCTTTGAGGTTCAGGATGTGCAGGTGGACCCAAGGAATGTAGGCCTGGGAGTGGGCCGTGCTCGCAGTTTCTTCGTGGCATACAAGAAGGAGAAAATCATGTGGAATGCAGAATATTCCCTCACAAGTTTCCTGGAATGCATTTCTTCGAAGTCAGTGCTATCAGCGAGAAACTATTTCTGGCAGTCACATCCGAAAGACCAGCTTAGTGATGCTGAAGATTCATGGTTTAAATTGATCCAACACTCTGTATTTTCTAAAAATATATGTCAAAGTCTTGCGGCCCTTCACCTTATTGCCCAAAAACACCCAAAGACAGACCCGTTTCTTGGGGGAAATTCGTTACAGGGGGGAAACCAGCGGGTAAATTGCTACCTTCACTAGTTTTTGCATGCCTCCACAGTAAAAGGTGTTGGCTATAAAGAACCCTCTTCCCTGAAATCGCTATCAGCAGATGGCCTTTCAACATGTTTCCAAGGACAGAAACCTTCGTGAATACCGAATGCTTGACAAGAAGATCACGTTTCCAGATCTCAGCCAATATGCACGGAATGGCCGTGGAAGGGGAGAACTCGCTGACGGATCTTTGATGACTTTGACGACCAATTCATCAAAAATTTATTCCGAGGACTGGGCTTTTAGCAGCGTGCTTTTGGTTTTTGATTTGGCTGCTTTGGTTT